TGGCACATCACTTCAACTGCTTCGCTGAGTTGGCACGGGGCGGACAGATACAATTGAGTATCGTCCGCATATTGATGATACTGACTCTTTCACAGGTCGCAGGAAGTGATCCTGCCTAACTTCTGTCCTAATCCGTGACATCCCAGGGAAAGGGAGTGGCACAAGTTAGATGTAAGACGTGCAGTTTGCATCTATATCAAGAGAACCAAGGATTTTAGGCACTTGGAGGCGTTATTCGTCTCTTTTCACCCTGGGTCACAAGGACAAAAGGCATCGTCACACACCATTGGCCGTTGGCTGTGGGCCGGTATTAAGTTGGCGTACGAGACTCAATCCAAGCCGGTTCCAGGCAGGGTGACTGCTCACTCTACGAGGAGTGCAGCCACATCTGCAGCATGGGCGACCCAGGCGTCCAACATAGACATCTGTAGGGCAGCCACATGGGCATCCCCCACCGCCTTCATCCGTAACTATAAGATAGAGACCTTTGCCTCGGCCGAAGCCTCCTTGGGGCGAAGAGTATTGCAGAGAGTTGCAGAGGCTCCGGACTCTAATGGTTCTCCCCGCCCGGGGACATCATTTCTTGGGTATGTCCCATGCTTGGACTCTCCAAGCAGCGCCTAGGAGAAAGACCGTTGGCTTACCTGAACGGTCGTTCTCTGGGCTCTGCGGGAGAGTCCAAACCCGCCCAGGGTCAGAATTACCTTCAGTGGTGATATCAAGGATCTGTGAGGGCTGTCCTCCGGAGTGTCCTTCGTTTTTAAACTGAGATATCAGAGGCAAAGGGGAGGCATGGTCAAATAAAAAAGATACTCAGTCCTAGGGCAGATAGACGGTGTTAACCCATGCTTGGACTCTCCCGCAGCGCCCAGAGAACGACCGTTCAGGTAAGCCAACGGTCTTTTTCATGACATTGAAAAATACAAATTTGGCATTTGACTAATTTGACATTTAAACCATTTTCTCAATATACATACACAGCATTTTTATTGTTTAATGGTTTTCCTGTTTTTATTGTTTTTAGGGTGGGTTCTTCTTTTCTCTCTCAATTTTAGTTCAGATTTGTTAAACATAATTTATTATATAAGTTTTTTCTGTCAAAGCTATTGACAGAAAAAACTTATTTTCTATTAAAAATAATATGCATGTTGCAGTACAATAGTTGATGAAAAACAAATGGAAAAAGTAACAAAATATCAGAATTTGCAAACTGAAATTTTAATATTTAATTTTTTAAATCAAAATTGACACACTGACTTTACAAAAAAATCACTTTGCTTGGAACTTCCCACATACTATAATCTCCACAGTCCCCAGATTCTTGCTTAGAAATCAAATGAGAAAATATAAAGTCTAGAGACTGATATTTATTGATGGATTACTTAATAATAACAAAACTGATACATACCTAACTGTGTCACCAGCTGGGGATGTGTATGTAATAGAGGAAACGCCAGCCTGAGCAACCAATTGGGATCCATCATTAAATTGAACCCATACTGCCCCACTTGTGAACTAGAAGGGGAAAAAAGTTTATTTCATATAAGGAAGTCTATAAAATAGCTGTTTACCTAATCACTCAACAATAATTGATTATCAAAAAAGGTATCCCACATTGTAAGGCCATTATTTTATATTAATGGTTTCATAATTAGGACCTGGCTTCGGGCTTAAATGAGAAGGAACTCCATTATTTTGGTTATTTGGTTTCATCTCAAAGTAGTAATTTATTCAGAGAAATAACTCATTCCACTGGAGACAAAAAATTGCAATGAATGGAAATCATTGCATTCATTTTTCGATGCAAATTATATACTGGCTCATGCACCTATTCATATGCATTGTAATCCTGGCAATTTTTATGTATCAAGTACAATAACAAACTAATGGTAATATTATGTTTTACTATTAACTATAGGCAACTGTTGCAAATATCAAAATATGGGCAGAGAAAAAACAGAGTTACAGCTTTACATATAAATTTTTAACTTGCTCTCTCCTCCATATTCACTGTGATCATATAAATCTAATTGTGTTTTTTTCTGAGTGAATTACAGACTCACCTGAGAAGCCCAGCCAACATTCTTTACAAAGACAGACTTTAGCAATTGTGCTGAATGTGGAACACAGTCACTGGAACTACCGGAAGAGCTCTTTGATTCAGATGTAGCTTCTGTGAATGCAGATCCTTCATAACACATCTAGAAGGTATTCATGGAAATATCAGATTGCAATAATGGATCAAACTTTGCCAGAGGTTTCACTATTTAATAAAATAATTTAATTTCATTAGCTATATGCCAGGAAGTCAATCTTGTCTTTATGCACCCTAACACCATTGCTTAGGTCTCTCTAAACAATCTTGGGCAGTTACCAAAATTTAAATTTAAATTTAAATGTACAATATGTATATATTTAAAAATCTCATAATAAAAGAATGATCTGTATATGTGTTTACTTACAGATAGGTTAATATTAGATGCTTGAGTTGAAGATTCAGATTTGGGAACATCTCTTTTCAAAGCTGCACTCATCAAAGATGGGGCTGTACTTGATAAAGCTTTTGGAGATTCAGGATTTCCTGGTTTACTGAGGTGGAGAAAAGATATATTTAGCTCTACATGAAAGCATAAATGAAGATCTCTATGAAAAAGTGTCAGCCATGTGAGAAGCAATAATATTGGAAAATAAAGAACACCAAATGTGACAGCTTACCGACCAACAATAATGGGGAAAAATGGAATACTTTCACTTTTTTCTTCTGCCAGAATGGCAGTTTCTAGTGCAAGGCAAATGCGATGAGCCTATTAAAATAAGGAAATGAATACAGGCACATTAAAATTTCACTGATAATGTAGTTTCTTCCTTTATGATAGAACAGGATTAGAGCTGACAACAGTAATAACAGTGGAAAGTATTGATAATTCTATAAAAAAGGCAATTTAAAGCTAAATATCTGAAATTGATCGACCTGCTAAAAGTTATTCACCAATTGACATTACTTTTCATTGATTCATTTGCTCCAACTTTATCACAACTTTTTACAGTTTTTCAAACATAGAGCTGGAACAGACTAATTGGAAAATGCACTTTTTTAAGTTTTAAATTTTATTTACAAACATGTAAAATACACAAAACTTAAGACATACACCACATTTACATAATACAATACGAACAGGAGCTTCCTGTTCTTTCTAATAGCAATTGCCAATTGATATCGCTCATCTTATATTGTTTCCCCTTCTATTATATTTAATTTGTATTTCACCATTCTTAACCCTCTTATCTTACTCCTCTGTCTGCTATACTGGCTGATTATCTCTAGTAAGTTTAAACCACTTGGTAAATGCACTTTCACACCTCCACCTTTTAAAATATAAACAATATTTACCTCATTTGCATGATGCACATATATTTGTATATCCTTCTGTAAAATTTCATTTTCTTCTCTTATTGTATAAGCTTTTCCAGATTTTTCAATTATTCGTATTGCTCCTGCTGCTTTGTGTATTTTCGCCCCTTGAAGAAAAATATTGGTCAAGTAGCAGAAATGTACTCTCATACTCTTTGATGAATATTAAAAGAAAAGAAAATTAAAGAAAATTGCAGTTGAAAATTTCCTACAGTTCAATATTATTCAGTATCAAAATAAAATACAAATGCAAAGGTCGGTAAAAATAAAAGTGTAAATACTAACATTTAATTTTCAAACAATTAAGTTTTATAATAATCACGGTTCCACCACAAAAGCGCGTAGGACAAAATCGCGCTCGACGAAAGCGCGCATTTGACGTCATCACAGCGCGACGAAAACATCG